GAGATAGTTGGATCCTGGAGCACACTGGCCTGCAAGTAAGTGCCAGGTAAGTGAGAGATCCTGTCTCTAAAGCCAAGGTGGGTAGCTCCTAGAGAATGACATGTGGTTGTCCTTTGGTCTCCACATACAAGAGAATATATGTGCACACCCACAAATACACATACCTGAACATATACACTTAATCAATATTTCCATATTTTTAAAACATTATAGCATCTAGTTGCTGGTGACATTAGTTATAGATGTATGTATATATATATATATATGCATGTATACATACATACATATATACACACACATACAATGGTGAGTTATGCACAAAGTGCTTTTTTATGTTTTCTTAATTCTTTAAAAGGAATGGGATAACAGACCTACCATCCTATCAAAACTATATCATTCCAGCTAATCATATATTTGGATTTGCACGGGCTGCATATGCACTCGGTCCATAAGCATGCATAACTCCGTACTGTGCGCGATTTTAATCATCTTCTATTTGGGATCTCTAATGTGATTTGTTTGGTGCCTTTGTTTTCTGTTACAAGCTTCAATAGATTCAACACAGCACAGCAACACAACACACAGCAATGATTATTATGGAAAGGGACCTACTTCTTGATGGCTGAAGTATCAAAGTAAGGAAACAGTTTGATTGAAGTAGCCTCCCGAGTGATTAAAGGCTCAAAAATGTTATTATAAGAATCAGTCAAGCTTGGAGATTATATAAAAAATATTCCCAAAGGCTTCATGCTAGTTAGTCACCTACCCCACTGAAACGAACACATGATTACGTACCTTGAACCTGTCAGGCAAGACAGAGATCTCAGAGCTGATTATCCTGGGATAGTGTTACACTAATTATATAAAAACAGGAGTATACAGGTAAAGACAAAATGTTCCAAAACAGCACTGCCATGAGGAAATATCAGAGGGATGTAAATCGTATCCAGAGTTCTCCTGTAGAACTCCAGTCTCAGAGCTGAGATATGAGAGTGGCCATTCATACTAGAACCATTGGGCCACCACTGCTTTGAAAACACACTTCAGTCAGGCACATTGGTTCCAAGGTTGTATTCAGTGTGCTCAAGAGTGGAGCAACCAAGGCACTGTTCTCAGCCTTCGGGTCCAGTCCGCTGTCCTCTCCTTCCAGAGCCAAGGTATAACTAGGCAAGATGGCAAAAGCCTACAATCCTACCATGGAGCAAACTGAGGAAGGAAGGCTCTTGTGAGTTTGAGACCAGCCTGAGGTACAGAGTAAGTTCTAGGTAGGACTGATCTAAAATGAGACACCAATCAAAACAAGCAAATAAACAAGAATTGAAAAGAAATCCCAGGTGTCTAGGGCATGTGCAGCAGTCCATACAAGTCTCAGTCCCTAAGAAGTGAGTCAGAAGCTAGTGTGGGATGGGAAGCCCGTATCTAGTGTTTTCTTCCAAACACCTGTGTGCTCTTGGGAGATCTGGCTGGTGTGCCCCTCCCTCTCACACCTCTTTTGATTGACAAATTTGAAGAAGCCTGATGTGTCCAACACTGTGTGAAGGGCAAGGACCACAAGTACAGCCCCTCACCAGGACATAAGCAGCCACGCACTACAGTGTGAAAGTTGTGATTTGTAAAAGTGGGGAATTTCCCCTTACTCTTGTAATTCTCAATGTGCTAGATTCAGTCCAGAATGGGGTGGGAAGTACTAGGAATGTCAGAGTCCTTCAGTTCCTGGAAAGATGGGGAGGTCCTTTGAAACATCTTCCCACATGATTGCCGCATATTGCATCAGGGATAACTCCTTGACCATTCTTTATCTGAGTGCAGAGATGGTTACACTGTGCTACCTCGGAGGTTTCAGCAGGTAGCCCAGGTTGACAGGGAAACTCATGATCTGATGGCTCAGTCTCCTGAGTGCTTGAATTATGGATATGAGCCAACACACTTGGCTCGTTAGCAGAGTTCTTAAAAGTTCCTTAATGAGTCTTACCTTGCTTTATTATTTAAATATTCTATGTTAATATATAATTTATGTTATAATTTAACAGTGTCTTACCATGTAGCCCAGGCTAGCCTACAGCTTACAATCCACAGGACTCAGCTTCCTAAATGTCGGGGTTACAGGAATGCACCACCACACACATGGCCTATTACTTCTAAGGTTACAGGTTATTAAAAAAGAAAAACAAACAAAACCAACCAACTAAACCTTTGGAGTAAAAAGGCAGGAATGTTCTGGAGTGTTCTTGTAAGTTTCTAATGTTATTTCCCAGCACGGAAGTGCTCCATTCTGCTAGAATCAGATGTGTGAAGGTTCATGTTCTAGAACAAGCTATGGCTTCAGATCACTTCCTCAGCAGAGCTGGCAAGAGAAGATGGGCATGGCTAGTACATGGAAGCCTGTCATAGTAAACACCAAAGAGCTGAATGGTGAGGTTCAAAGATGGAGTCAATTCAGAATAAGTGACCATCGTTTTCTAATTTTGGAAGAATCTGTGCAAGTGAAATGATTTAGTCATTTCATAAACATGAACCAGAAGCTCACAGATTCCATGTCCCCTTGAGTTTTCTGCTTGAATCTCAGACCTTCCATCTACAAAGCACAACATGTTGACTTTCTCCACAAGATGCTCTTCCTGCATCCCCCGCTGACATCTGCTGAACTTTCCCACTGGCTCTAAGGATCACAGACTCCCCTTGGGCCTTTGTCTTCCTTCTCCAAATGGTCATGACCCTGTTTCAGTGTGTCATTTTTTCTTAGGTAGTGTCTTTACAAGCATATCTTTCTTGCCACTCTTGAGGTCAAATGGCCCATTACTGCTTCTCTTACTTAATTCTTTTTCCTCTCTCCTTTGCCAGTCAACACTACACAGTACCAACAGTAAGGCTAACATATATGAGTTCTTTTATTTTTATATTACCTTTTCTTGTTAGGCATGATTTTATTTTTTAATTAAAAAATTGCCTATAAAGTAACAGGTTGAGACAAAGATATTTACCATTAGAGGCTAGGATCCACATGTAAGAGAGAAACTATAGCATTTGTCTTTCTGAGCCTTGATTGGCTCACTTGATAAACTATTTTTCCAGTACCACCTATTTTCCTGAAAATTCATAATTGAATTTTCCTTACAGGTAAGTAAAACTCTACTGTGTATATGCCTTTTCAATTCATCAGCTGATAGGCATCAAGCTGTTCTACTTCCATGAAAAGAGAAGCAATGGACATGGCTGTGCAGATGTTGCTGTAATAGGATGTAAAGTCCTTTGGATACATACCTAAGAATTGCATAGATGGGTCACATGGTAGCTCTATTTTTAGGAGCCTTCACAGTAATTTCCACAGTGGTTACACTATTTTACACTCCCACCAATAGTATACAAGAGGTTGATCTTTCCCACACCCCAACTAGCATTTGTGGTCATTTGTTTTCCTAAAGGTAGCCATTCTCATTAGGTGAGACAGACTCCCAAAGTAATTTTAGTTCATTCTCTCTGATGGCTAAGGATGTTTAATGCTTTTCAAAGACACATTTATTGGCCACTTGTATTTCTTCTTTTGAAATCTACCTTTTCAGTCTGTTGCCCCATTTATTGATTGGCAGTTTTGGTTTTTGTGCTTAGTTTTTGCTACTCTCTGTATATTCTAGGTATTTATCTCTTCTGTGAAGAATAGCTGCCATCCTGCAACCTGTCTGTCTACTGTTGTACAGAAGATGTGTGTGTGTGAGAGAGAGAGTGGGGGGGAACAGAGAGAGAGAGAGACAGAGAGAGAGACAGAGACGGAGACAGAGACAGAGACAGAGAGAGACAGAAAGAATAACTGCTCAGCTTCTGGAAGAGAGAGGTCAACTTTAGTGTGTTCCTGTGTCGTGGTCCATCTCATTTTGGCTACACTGACTGGCCAGCAAGCATTTGGTATCTACCCGTCTTACTCTGCTTGCCTCAGTGAAGAGCCACACCATCCAGCTTTTGACATGGGTGCTCAGGATGTGAAGTCAGGTCCTCATGCTTGCACAGCCAATGATCCACCTCCTCAGCCTCCCACCTGTCATTCTAGGCACTCTTTATTGTGCTATTGAGGTCACAACGCTAAGTGTCTTGATTGTATTTAAACCATCAAATATTCTCCCTGAGTTTCCATCAGCAATTTCGAAGTCAAACCTTTGATAATCTGTTTTAATTTCCTCACTTTCCTTGCACTGTCCCTTAGAAAAACATCTCTAACATGATCTAACTTCCTCTTGGTCAAATCCAAGACTGCACTCATGGCTCTGCTTTTCTACATTGTCTGTCTCTACTGGGTCAGCATTGCTTTTGCATATTTTAAGAATTCAACAAATGTTTATCAATTACCAAATTTCAAGCCCATATCCCCAGTTTTGAAATGACTTGTTCAGTATAATCAAACTTATTTCAGTATCTTGGTTAAACATTCCTATTACTCAAGATCATGATGGTTTTTAAAGTAACTCTCAGAATTTTGTTTACAACCATCTTTTTATGCCTTCTCAATGGGAAGTTCTAAAGTTTTCATATTACATACTTTGTAAAAATCCACGGATTTCAATAGACCTTTCAAAAATAAAAAGGTCTCCAATTCTTAATTCATCTAAAGTTTTCACTTCTTTAATTTATTTACATTAATTCTTGTGAAAAGTACAATGAATATTTTACACATTTAAAAGAAATAAAAAGAACTTGGGTGTGGGTTTAGAAAGACTCATACTAGGTTATGGCAAAGTTATGATACTAGAATTTTCATCAGATCTTAGCAAAATGGCTGCCTGAAAGATTTTCAGGAATGTAGAAGATTCCGGAGCTTTTCAAAGGTCCATGGGAATGACAAGAAAGAAAACTTGAAGTGGGAATCCACCTGAAACTGCAATTGACTTGGTGATCCTCCCTATGTGGTTCTATAGAAATGAGCCTTCTAAGAACCCTGTACCACTTGGAGACAGATGTGATTGTTTTTGACTCCAACACAACTCACAGAGATAAATGTCTTAGCAGCTTACCTTGCCTGATGTTTCAAACAGGAATTTATCTAGTGTCATGGGGTTTTCCATGGCTTGCATAAGTTCCTTTGGAAACTCATCAATGCACGAAGAAGAGTAGAGCTGCAAGAACCGTTTCAGGAAAAGATGCATTTCTTTCTGGCGCAAAATCAGTTCAGAGTTGTGCAGGGATGTGAGGAGCATGTCGTCGGGCAGAGAAATCCCTGAGACCGGAGTTGCAGATGCTTAGGGAACAGAAAGATCATTACTGAGGCTCTCGTGAGGGATAGAGTGGTCTCAATCTTGGTATTTGTTCATTGCCCGCTATGGTACACCAACCAGCTAGTGTCTCCCCACCAGCTTGCTCTGTAGGATTTATATGCTAATGACCGCTGATTGCCACAGATTTCAAGGGAAATCTCAGAGATACACAAGGATATTGCTGCTTGTTGTAAATGCTAACAATTGCACCATCTGTCCTGTCTACCGGTCTTATTTTGGGTTCCCACAAAACAGGTCCCACCATGGAGATTTAGATGTGCGATATTCTTCTGAAAATAATCTCAAAGACCTTTGTGAATGGTCCAAAGAATTGGGGCCAAGAGAATGGGAGAGTTAGAAAGGTGAATAAATGAATGGACAGGTCTGTGGGCAACAAGGGATCAGTCCTGCTAAGATCTTCTGGGAACGACAGAAACATGAAGGGCAGCCTCCATCAGGTCAGAAGGTGGAATGCTCCTCTATGTCCCTACCTTATTGGTTAAGGTCACTGCTGGATGTAGGAGCCTTGGCATTTGCAGGCCATGTTTACAGGATGAACAAAAGCCTAAGAAAGCCCAAAGCAGAGAAAGGAATCCTTCTGTGGAAAGTTCCAACTATTGCATTCAGAGGCAAGATAGTCACAGTGGTGACAGGGCATCTTCAGGGATGTCTGTTCAAGGCCACATCCTTCCCCACTGGATAAGTTTCTGTTGCTTCAGAACACAGCACAATATGCTTCTCAGGCCTGAAACCTTCCAAGTTGATTGCTTATCCCCTTGCTAACACCTGACCACTGTGCTCAGCCATCTGTGACTGAGTTTGGATGCCCTGCTTGCCTCTCAGTCACTGGACCCTGGCATGAACCAGTCTTCCTTGACTGCCTTCATGAGCAAACTAGGTCACCACGGGTACTGCAAAAACATACTAAGATGCTAATACTGTCAAAGTAACCATGGAAACAGCTGATGTGAGAGGGCTTCACTGGTTTTCCTAGATATTCTTTACAGGGTGTGCTGGCTAGTTTTATGTCAACTTGATACAAGCTGGAGGGATTTGGGAAGAGGGAACCTCACTAGACTGGCCTGTGGGCAAGCCTGTGTGGTATATTCCTAACAGATGGCATATATGGGAGAGCCCTGCTCTTGGTGGGTGGGATCACTCCTGAGCTTAGTAGTACTGAGCAAAACCACAGGGAGCAAGCCTGTAAGCAGCATCCTCTACGACCATCCGTTTCTTCCTTGAGTTCCTGCCCCGACTTCCCTAAGCAAATGGAGTGTGACCTGAGAGTTGTAACCCTTTCCTCCTTAGATTTCTTTTGGTCTTGGTATATTATCACACAACAGCAACCCAAACTAATACAACTGGTGATTTTTAAAATTATAACTAAATATCCTATCCAAATCATACATTCCCTCTCTTTTCCATGCTAATACTGGAACACACCCTAAAGTCAAATTCTATCTTATTCATTTGTAAGCTGTCATTCTGTAGTCCCTGGTTTTTAGCTGTTTCACTCTATGGACCGCTTCAACAATCTTGGGAAGCCACAAGAGGCCTCTCTGTCACGCTGTTTTCAAATATATGAAATAAGATGTGTGGAATTTCCACAGACACCAGTAACTCTGAAATATTATTCTAGTTGAAGCTCCCTACATTCCAGGTTCAAACCCATGAAACGAAAAGTTAATCTTTTGATCATGTAGGAAGATGATATCTTTTGACATCAGAAAAATATCAAAATAACTTTATACTCTAAGTTAAAAACGTGACCTAAGTAGGAAAAGGAATGTAATACCCCCTTTTCTTTCAACACATCTTTATGTTTCCTCTTACAATGTCAGATGCTCACCCAGCAGCTTGCTCATGTTGTTAATTCTCTGGAGATGTATATAGTAGCGAATGAGAAGGATCCACGTAATCTCCACTTTGGTGTGAGCCTTCCTTTTAGCATCTACGCTGTCATAAATATCATCATTTTGGTGCAAAAATGGACTACCAGTCTGGAAAGTAACTTGGTAGTTTTCTGAAAGAAAACAACAACAACAACAGCAATAATACAATGCTATTCTTTCCTTGGAGGAAATCTATGCACAGGGTCTGGGGCGGGGGTGGAGAACACAATTTATGACTGTAACACGAGCATATGTTCAATGTCTTAAAATAATTGTGTATCACAAAAGTACCAAACATAATATTAAAAGAAAAAGTCTAAGAGAAGATACTTAGCACATTTTTGCTGCTATTTACTTAAAAATAAAGAATAAATATTTGCATTCTATATGTATGAATGCCTTGCCTGCATGTATGTATGTGTATCATGCACATGCCTGGTATACACAAAGGCCAAGAGAAGGCGTCAAATTCTCTGGAACTGGAGTTGTGGATGGCTGTGAGCCTCCATGTGGGTGATGAAAACTGAACCCAGGTCCTTTGCAAGAGTACCAAGCACTCCTGACTGCAAGGAGATCTGTCTGACCCCCAAATTGCTTTATTTATTTATTTATTTATTTATTTATTTATTTATTTATGGTTCTGCGACTTGAACCTCAGGTATTGTGCCCGCTAAGCAAGCGCTCTGCCTCTGAGCTATAGACACAGCACTGCTTCCTTTTATGTAACACAGCTAAAACTTTTGTACAAACCAATTTTTAAAAAACCAAAACAGTCTAATTTCAACAAGCAGCTCATAGGAGAAGTGTGCAAAGAATTTCAACAAGCAACTGGCACGCTTAAATGAGGAAACATTTTAGCACAACTAAAAATGAGAGAAATACGAATTCAAGATGAAATACCCGTTTCTATACCTTGGGAAGTGACACCAGGTATCTGACTACAGTGAGTGTTCGTGGTGACTTGAAGAAAATGGAGTGTGCATGCTCTTTCTTGTAAGTGCAACAAAAGCAATATGGAAGGATAGGAATAGACAATGAAGACACTCGCACGTGCATCAAGTCCTGCTCAAAGGGGTGCCCTGTAGTTCTGCACTAGGAAAACGAAACCGTGAAACAGAAGACAGTTTACTCATGTGACATTGTGAGAGGAAACAGAATGAACCAGATCCACCCGGAAAGAAGAAAGTGCAGTGCTGTTCACTAGTGTGAGACCTTGAAAAAGCCTGGGCACAAATGGGGAGGTTGTAAATTAATAATGAGCTAAGATGCAGACTTGACATGAGAAAAGTAGTTTGGTACCAAGGACACGTACTGCAATTCGTTGTGTCACTAATGTACAAACACAATTACATATGGTAGTTGGTCAGGGAACAGCGATTGTCTCTGGGGATGGAGATGAGTGGGTTCTTCTGTGAATCTGTAATGCTCTAGGCTTGTTTTCTTGACTAACAAAATGAACTCCCATGAAATAACTGTTATCGGGGAATGAGGTTTCTCTGATTGTCTGTCTAGCTACCCAACACCATCCACCTTAGAAAACAAAACACTTCTCTTATACTTTTAGAGTACCTTGTTTAAAAACAAAACCCTTAAATATATTTTCTTTTCTCAGTCTGAAGCCATCAGCCACAAATAACCATTAACCAAACTTGCGTACTAGGAACCACACAACTGTCACCATATTTTTTTAATACTTTGGAAACTCTTGTTTAGAGAAAAATTACATGTGTTTATATTTTTTTTGCATTAGACACATTTTTAAAATTTATTCAAGCTGTTCATAGGTATAGTTCATTGATTCTTTTCATTGTTTTATAGTATTCATTAAATAAATATAGTACAATTTATCTACTCTATTGTTGATAGACATGTGAGTTCTTCCTGATAATATTTTTAGTTTTTAAATATTTATTCATTTTTATTTTGTGTGTATGAGTGTTATTTTGTATGTAGTGTGTGCACCATACCTGGTATGCATGGAGGCCAGGAGAGTTGAATTCACTGTAACCGGAGTTACAGGTGGTTGTGAGCCGCCATGTTGGTGCTTTTAAGTATGGAACCATCCCCCAGTCCCTGTCTTCTCCTTTGTTTTTATTTTGCTGTTTTAAACAAGACTGCCACGAATATTTGAATATATATTATTTGATATTTCAGTGTATAAATTACTGGGAAATAGATTTAGTAGTTCATTTTCTGGTATTTTTAAAAGAATCTTGCCATTTGCTCTTTTGTGTAAATTCTACAATGTTTGTCAACTACAGCAAAAATAGAACTTGTTAAAATTATTACTAGAGCATCACTAAGTTTACATGCCATCTTTAAAAGACTCACAGGAGTATGTCCCATCAGCCATAAAGATGATGAGGTCTCTGTTTCGATAGCTTTCGATGAGCTCTTTATTAATAACTTGTTAACCACTAGTAACCTAACCTTTTAAGAAGTATTATCTTGCCAGGCAGTGGTGGTGCATGTCTTTGATGCCAGCATTTAGGAGGCAGATGCAATCAGATCTCTGTGAGTTCAAGGCCAACCTGGTCTACAGGGGAAGTTACAGGACAGCCAGGGCTGTTACACAGAGAAACCCTGTCATGAAAAAAAAACAAAAAACAAAAACAAAAAATGAAGCATTATCTCTGAAATCTATAGAAATAAAGCCTTTCAAAAAAATTTTTAATTTTCATATAGAAATTCACTGTATGGACATTTCTACCCTCCAACTCCTCCATGTCTCCACACTTTGCCCATCAAATTCATGATTTTATAATTTTTATACACACACAAATTATTGACAAGTGTTTGAGGCTGATGCTTTAGGATTTGATAACCTATCAGGGTGCTTGTCCCTAGAGAAAACTAATCGCCACTCCCTGCACCTCCACCCAGTAGGCATCAATTGCCTGTAACTCTTCATATAGGGATGGGCTTTATGAAATTTTCCTCCATCCACATTGGCACGTCAACTGGTGTGGTCATTTTACAGGTTTTGTTCAGGCAGCCAAATTGTTGAGATTTAACGGATTTGGCTTCCTTATGTCTAAGAGATACTGTCTTGAAGCAGGCACCAAACCTACTCTTTCCCTCTTCCACAATGTTGCCTGAGCCTTAAGTGTAGGGGATCTGTTGGGGATATACCAACTGGGGCTAGGCACCCGCAGTCACTTATTGTCCCACCTTTTGGCCAGTTGCAGAAGCAGTAGCCTCTGTCTGCTGCAAAAGTTAGAGTTGCTGATGATGGGTATGGTTTACACTTACTACACAGTTGGAAAGGATATTGAATGAAACTATATTAAATTTAGAATCTCTTCTGAGGTATATGATTTCTCCAGCCACAGACTCTTGCCTGGACTTAAAGTCTTAATCCCAGTGAGATAACTGTTGGTTGCTACCAAGATGTAAGTGCCACTATTACATTATGCCAGGCCAGTTGTTGTGGTGGTTCACCGGATTTACAGCAGGTGGGATGGTTGATAACTTTTCTCCCCTGGTAACTAGCAGAGCACCTTCCAACACTATAGGAGCTAGTCCTCAGGGAGGAGCCTTCCAGGTCAGCAGCAGCTTGATTCGCCAAGTCAGTAGCCTAGGGTGTGGTGTCTTCAGCAATAGGACCTTATCTTCAGGTTCGGGGAGGCAACCAAAGGCAACAGCAATAGCCTATTTTTTAGGGTGTGGTATCTTGGACCCCACCCCGACTAACAACTCAAAGAAAGACATCTCTTGCCTGGCACTAGGTTCTACACAGATAGACAGATATGGCTCCTTTATGGCATAACTTCCTTTAAGCTACGTATATATGTACATGTGTGTGTCACAAACATGTGAACTAGATTTAATATATATTTATATATACATATATACACACAGACACAATATACTTTTAAATAAGTTTAACTTATTTTCCTAAATAAACTTATGCTTCCCTATGGCCTTAGTGTTATTTATTAACAACCCTCCTTCCCCAACTCCAATTAGCCCCTCCCATTTCCTTCTTTCCCCATTTATGGCACCTGTGTTCTCCTGTCCCCTCGCCGTAGCCCCTTTATTCCCCTGCCCGATGGTTCCTCTCTGCTTTGTTGACTTCTGCAGCTAAATTATATGCTTTGTCTGTGTCTGGGTTACCTCACTCATATAATATTTTCCAGTTCCGTCCATTTACTCACAACATTACTTTTCTTTACAGTCAATTAAAATTCCATTGTGTGCATATACATTTTCACTAGCCAACCATTATGACAGCTACCTAGGCCGATTCCATTTCCCAGCTATTGTGAATAGAATGGGAAGGAATGTGTCCTCTGCCGTAAGATGTCTGGTGGTACACCTGGCTCATTTGGAAGATCTACGTTTAGCCTTTAAAGTAGTCTCCACACTGCTCTCCAGCAGCTGCACCAGTTTGCAATCCTACAGTGAATTAGTGTTATCCTCCCCCCCAACACCCTGGCCAGCGTTTGCCATCAGTTATTTTCTTGGCCTTAGCCATTCTAGCTGGGGTTAAACAAAATCTCAGAGCAGTTTTAGTTTGCATTTCCCTGATTGCTAAGGACATAAGGACACAGAGCAGATTTTTAGGTAAGAAATAACATCTTGCATGCAGCGTCACTGCTAGATGCACCTTCTTGTCCATAGCTTGGGGTCCCGTATGTGGGATTGTCCAGGGCTGACAACAGCTCGTTATTACTTCTTTCCCTCATAGTGTTATGCAAGGGAGAGAGTCCAGGGCAACTCTGAAGTCATGATAAGCATGGATTTCACTCCTGCCTCTAGAGGGAAGAGCTTAGCATTCAAACACAGAGAACAAGTGCTATGAGGATTTTTCCCCACTCAGAATTCTATGATTCTATTTTATATTCAATTGTGTGTGGGGAGAGGGTATGTGTACTTGGGTGCTAATGTCTGTGGATGCCAGAATAGTATATCAGATGCCCGGGAGCTGGAGTTACCGGTGGCTCTGAGCTGCCCAACCTGAGCACTGGGAATTCAACTCAGGTCCCCTGAAAGAGCAGTGCACATGCTTAACTGCTAAGCCATCACTGCAGCCCCTTAGAACCTTTTTAAATGAAGGAAATGCACGTTAATTCAGTGTTAGAGTCATGGATGACTGTTTAACTTTATTAAATTTTTTGTGCCCATTTGA